CCCCCCCCCCCCCCCCCCAGTACTGCCTGCCATGCCAGGTGTTCACCTTTTCAGACAGCCTCCAATGCAGAAGATGATCAGGAATCAGGATAAACCAGTAACCCCCCCAAGGCTGCTCCAGAGTGGGCTCGTTACCACACCCAGACCCTGCCCTGACAGCAGAGCCCTCTAGGCCACCGCCACATGGAGGGGCCTCAATGCCTTCCTGAATCAAGAGACTTCTTGTTTCTGCTGTGAGGAGAGACTGCCGTGGATAACAGGAGACTGTTTCAGAATATGTGGAGCTGCCAGCACATCCGGGAGGAAGCTGACCTGCGTATAACAGAGCCACAAAGGGCGGAGAACAGCAGTGGCCTATCATTCCAAAGCAGAAAAGAGACAGAGATACTCGATGCAAGATTTAAGTCAGGGGTGTCCAACCTTTTGGGTTCCCTGGGCCACATGGAGTAAAAAGAAACTGTCTTGGGCTGCACATAAATTATATCATGTAGTTAGTGTATATACGTAAGTCTTTTCTAAAAAATATTTTTTATTATAAGGTTTAGAAAAAATAAGAGCAACATAAAACCAGTGAGAAATCTGACCTTGTTTTTGTAAGACTAATCTATCAATGTCTGGTTTGATGGAAGTGGTTGTAATTTTTAGTGAGTTTTCAAGGTGCTCAACAGAAATGTTTGTTCGAATTTTGCTCTTCATGTACTTCATAATTGAAAACAGCTGCTCACAAATGAATGTGCTGCCAAAAAGTGATGTCACGAATAAGGCGTGATTGTGAACTTCAAAAACAGAACTATGCATAGGTGTCACCAAGAAAATAAACGCTAAAAAATACATGATGTTAAGAGGTTTTGTGGGGCCGCATTACTAGCTGTCCTGGGCTACATGTGGCCCACGGGCTACGGATTGAACATGCCTCATTTAAATAGTGAAAAATCATTTTGGCATTACAGGAGCTAATGATCAGGCCTATGGTGGCATGGGAAGACACATGTTTCAGAGTGCATGGCACTAAAGCTGGTCTCTATTCCACTTTCTTCACACCTGACAAACATCTCCCAAGGCAGAGTGACTTACTTGCTCTCAAGGATGTGCAAAATCCATGTTAAAAGGCTGTAGTCCCGTATGATTTCATAGGCAGATTTGGCAACCTGGGCAGCATTCTGTAGAATTTCCAGAATCCAATTCTGAAAACCCAAAACAAAAAGTTACTCTTTAGTGGGAAAACTTAGCTTACCTGAACAAAGGAGCACTTTAAAAAATGTAATGGTATGCTACAATTACAGGTGCTTGTTGCAAATCAAGTTTGCTTTGCTAAAGCTGTGCAGGAAGGCACCCTTCCCCATTAAGTGATAGCCAGAGGACACAGATTTTCACAGCAATCACTGGGTCTGCAGAACTCCAATTCCACTAATTAATCACACGGAACCAACCCCCAAGTAACAATGTGCCATGGAAACCCAACAAGCACAGGCCAAGCAAGTGAGTATACAGGGCCGCTTTGTTCTGCCATGAGCCGCAGCAGCTCCCTTTGGCCCCTTGGCTTTGCCACCTGGAAAGAAGGACTTAAAAACAGGACTGTCTCCTGAACTGTTGATGGGTACTTCAGAATTCTCACATGCCATAAGAAACAGAAAACTACCACACTCAAATTCAGTTTCATTCAAACGTGCTTCCTAATCCTGACTCACTCCTATTTGCCCACATTTCACATAATATCAGAAACAAAAGCTGATCAGATAAAAAATTAATCAAAATAAAGGCTTTTCCTATTTACTTCTTCCAACCACTCATGGTATTTAGAATACACCAGCTCTGAATCTAGGGGGTGGAGTTAAATGAACACACTCCCTGACTAAGTGGCAGTCCGCTTCAAACTGACTCTGGCTTTCCAGCAGAGTTTGATGACCCACAGCTTCTGTGAAGTGTCATCCTGGCTACTCATGAGAGCCTCAGACAAAGTACCTCAGTCACTCATGGGGGTAATCTGTTCCTAGATGTCCTGGCCAGCTCCGAAGGTTCATAGTTACTGATCAGTCCCCTCTCTCTTGATGGCAAAATAAAAAGGCCTTCACACGGCTCAAGGGCACAGGAGGAGAGACCCACGAAAGGCATTTCGTCAGAGGACAAGTGACACTGGGAATTACAACACTGATGCCTAGAACCAGTCTGCACCCTGTGCAGCAATAGGAAAGGCACTAACACGTCTCATTTCCCCTAACTGAAAGCCAGGGTTAGGTTGGTCATGTCTAGCCTGGGAATATAATTCACATGAACTTGGGTTCTCTTGAGAAAGGGCACCGACCTATGAGTCTCAAATAAACCCGGGGAAGCCAGGTACCTGTGCCACTTGGTCACACAGCGGGCTGTAGAAGAAGGACAGGATGATGTGGAAGATGCCTCGCCGGGCATACAGCTCGTAGCAGTGTTTGTCACGGATTCCCTGCCGCAGGACACCAAACACCCACTCCTGCTCGACTTTTTGCTACAAACCAGGCAAGTGAGAAACCGTCATTAGATATGGGAAAGCCTCAACTGACAACTCATCCAACACCACTATTTTCAAGTGGCAGCAGATTATAACACAGCAGCCTGACCTTCACTCTTGATTCTATTATTTATTGTTTGTTTGTTGTTTTTTTTGAGTTGGCGTCTCACTCTGTCACCCAGACTGGAGTGCAGTGGCCGCTCCCGGCCACCGCAGCCTCGACCTGCTGGGCGCCGGCGATCCCTCTGCTTCAGCCTTCCAAGTAGCTGGAACTACAGGCGCACACTACCACGCCCAGCTAATTTTTTATTTTATTGTAGAGATGAGGTCTCACCAAGTTGCCCAGGCGGGTCTCGAACCTGTGGGCTCTGGCAATCCACTCACCTCAGCCTCCCAAAGTGCTGGGATTACAGGCTGAGCCACCGAGCCCAGCTTGATTCTATTATTTAAAATCCTTGATCTCATCTTTGATTCCATTTCTTCAGGTCAGGAATAAAGAACAAAGTCAAGTCTAAACACTGGACTTAATATTTAATCTTTAACACCGTGGTTCACCAAGAAAATATACAGAAACCTTAAGGTTTGAGAAGCTACAAAAAATGAACTCATGCCACAAGAGACATCCTGTGCACATCCTGTTGCACAGCAAAGTCACACGGCTTGTACAATCATGCTGGTCGTACAGTAGAAAGTACTGATGGGAAAATGTTGGAACAACAGTGGCTGAGTCATTCAATTCAAGAGTCTCTGGGGACCCTGGGGACTCTAGAAGCATTACCTCAAAGTCTGAGCTGTAGAAGAACTGGTAGAAGCCCGGCACTTTGTCCATATTCAAGTACTCGTGTGACAACAGGAACTTGCTGATCTTCAAATACATGTGCTCCTCTGATAACACAGGCAGCCAGTCACTGACACAGACACTGACAGGACACCCCGTGGTCTGGCAGTCAGGGAGTGGGTGTTTTGGGCATCAGACATAAATGCCCAGATTACTGGTTCTTGAGAATTAGAATACAATCAACCACCTGAGTGCTGTGCTGCATAGGGACTTCCCCTTCAGACTCAGAAGACACTGCTGGGTGTTGAGTCCTTCAGAGACCTTGCCCCTCACTTTCCCCCATTTACTGTCCTATCGCACCAGCTCAAATCAGTGGATGTTTAGAGTGGGACTTGGTCACATGACAGATCAGAACTGACACCACAACCATCAGTCCCACTGGCCTCCAGACTTTCACTGAAAGAAACTGTCACAGCAGGGGAGGTTCAGACATCCACTGAAAGCCTTGGCTCTGGAAGGCAACAAGGCAGATGCAGACAGACACCCTTGCCCTGCCACTTCCCACCTTCTGAACACCGATCCAGACCAGGGGCAACCCTAGAGTCCACACATTACCCCTGCTGCCCTACACACACCCCACTCTGACTCAAGGACAGAGCTGTGCCCAGGACCAAGTGGTCTCTGCTACTTAATTTCTTTCCTCCCCAAATTTCCAAGGCAAGGAAAATCATGTAATAAAAATGAAATGGGAGTAGATGAAAATTGAATCTGAATTATAATAGTAACTTTTCCACAACCGAATTGTGAGGCCTTAGACAAACTAAATAGCCCCAGGAGCCTCATTTGGTGTGTGAGGATGGAAACTGATTGAGGTGGGGATGGGGATGGGGGGGATGTTCCTCTTCTGAAATATGACATTACACTAAAAGAACCCTCTGTCCCTGATGGTACCATCATTCTGTGATCTCAATAACCTCCCAAAAGGGCTTATGATGAACCCACCTCTCCTAGTCATAGCATCTTGGCAGTTGCACCCCTACTCTAGTGAGTAACAAAAAGGAGCTATGTTCTAATCCTGGGGTCCCACATGTGCCACACTACAGGTAGGACTTGGGAGCCTAAGCAGCACCGAGGATGAACACAGGCAGTGAGGATGGTGGCAGCAAATGCGGACAGGCCTTTCTGGCACCTAGTGCCCTCATCGTGTTTCAGTGTGCACGATCTGTGCTGTCCTCCCAGCAACCCTAGAAGCAGGTGTGTGGTCTTGCCATCCCCATTTCACAGAGCAGAAACTAAGGCATGGCGAAGTCTAAGACAACCTGCCTCAAGTCTGTGCTTTTTAGCCCTGGGTAATAGTTCCTATTGCTGTGATCAGCCTGGGCTTTTAATTCCATTTTATTTGCTTTTATCAGTTTTATACAAGCAAATATGAACATATCCTTCCTCCCTATACACACTGTCCTGCACCTTGCTTTCTCATTCAGTTTTCTCTGAACTCTTCCCACAGGCGTCCACAGAGAGCTTCCTCACAGCTACCACTTCTTTACCGTCCACTCTGGATGGGCATCTAGGTGGCTCCCCATCACTCACAGTCATGAGCACTGAATGTCCTGACACAGCTGTGTGATCCTTTCCACCCATGGGATTACTTCCTAGACATGGACTGGCTCACCCTCCATTTTTCAGTTTTTCCTCAAACTCAACTATATCAGTGGTACCTGGTTTCAAAATCTGTAGGGCTGCTTTGGCAATGAAGAGAGACAAGGTAAAAGTGAGTCTCATGTTCTTAGTTCGAATCCCATTTCGGACTACATCCAACAGGTAAAGTAGCTTAAAAACAGAAAAGGAAAGAAAAAAAAGATGAACATTTTCAGAACTGTGATCAGTCTTGTTTTGATGAGGCTCACAGGAGCGGGCATGCTGCTTGTTAACACCTCATGCAAGTTTTTGGTTTTTCTTGTTGGAATCAGATATATGCCCACCAGCAAAGAGAAGCCTGGCCCCTTACCCTGAAAACCCACCCTTAATCTGTAGCACAGAGTAAGGGTTTCTGAGGTTCAGTGTGTCGTGGATAGCAGCCACCTTAACCACTGAGTTCAGACCAAAGGGATAGTCAACAGATGTCAGATCACTTTGCCTAACAACAAAGTTTAAGTTGAAGCTTGTCAAGAGAAACCTTTCTCAACCTCCCCAGGGGCTGAAGATCAAAGGCAATCTCCTACACCACCTCCTAAAGGGAAAAGACTTCTGCTCTTTAGTGGATCTGTCTCCTGGCAACATGCCGCCTTTGAATTCCTCAGTAAATCCTTCTACCTAAGTGACGAGAGGACAGCAAGCTCTCTAGAGCCCGCCAAGCCCACCCTCAGCTCCGTAGGACATCTCCTCTTCCTACTGACCTGAGACTGTTCTCGGAACCGCGCTCCTTCCAAGTGCGAGTAGTAGGCTGCCAGGACGTGGTAGGCCGTGGCTCGCATCTGTGGGTCATAGCTGCTGAGGGCTGCTACGGTTAGGCCAAGAGCATTTGAATCCAAAAATTTTCGGCAATCTACCACAAACTCTACAGGAAATAAAACACAGCATTAAAAATACACAATTATTTCATGATTCTTGTGCAACCTGTAGAATTAAATTTCCTTACCATTTATTAGCTACGTGTGTCAGATACAACGAATGCAAACCTCTCTCCAGCTCCCCATAACTTCTGCTGAAGTTACACAAAGACTCTCTTCCCTTCTGTGGCAATCATCACACCTTCAATGTCTAAAAGGTATGTACATCCCAACCAAGATAATTTCATTGTTTCTCATAAATGCCCAAGGAGCCAGAGAGAAATGGAGGTGACCCTGAGAGTCACTGCTGGGATTCTAACATACAGAGGCCTGGGGAACACCACTGAGGAAACAGTAGGGAAGATCAGCCCACTCCCTTGGGGGCTCCCATAGGCGTGAAGGCGGCAAACTTAGCCAGTGCAAACCAGCCTGACAAAGGATTGGTTTACAATCATTCTGCAACTCTAGTTCCTTCTCCACACAAACAAAAGTCCCACAGGAGAGTGGTTCACCACACTTAAGCAAAAGCTATAGTCAAAAGAGCCTGCTAGCTGATATCCATTTACTATGTGAGGCCTCGAGATGTTCAAAATCACATCAGGAGAGGATAACACCAATGCAGAGGTTAGATATGTCGGGGGATCCATCTTATGACTTTAAAGAAAAGAAAACTCAGGAACCTTCAACTATTCTTTAATAAAAACCCAGGCCTTTTTACAAAACAGACCTTGTTTAAGAATGATTAATCTGGTCATGACAATTACCCACAATGATGTTTTTTAGAAAGAGTGACCAGTGAACTAATAAAATTAGGAACTAAACACTAGCCAACTGAAATGACTATGCCAAATGAGTAATCTTAGACTATACTATCAATGAAGTATATTCCACTGTAACATTTTTAAAAATTATAAAAAGGATTAAACATGTTAAGTAGAGTTATAGGAGATATAAAAACCCAAACCAAGCTTGGAGAGATGAAAACTAAAATGTCTGAGATGCAAAATGCATTATTAGGTAGGATTATCAGCAGATTAGATACTGCAGAAAAAGACTAGTGAACTCGTCTAGACAACAACAGAAACTACCCAAGCTGAAACACTAAGATAAAAGAACTGAAAAAACTTGAACAGAACATCAGTGAGTTGAGGAACAATTTCAAGCAGCCTAACATATTTGTAGTTGGGGGGGTCCCTGAAAAAACTGGAAAAAAACAGTGGCCAAAACTTCCAAATCTGACAAAAAACTATAAACCTACAAAGCCAAGAAACTCAATGAACCCCACCCACATGAAACAAAGAAAACCACACCAAAGCACATCATGATCAAAGTGCCTGAAACAAGTGATCAAAAATGTTAAAGGCTGAGCGTGGCAGCTCACGCTAGTAATACTAGCTCTTTGGGAGGCCGAGACGGGAGGACTGTTTGAGCCGAGGAGTTTGAGACCAGCCTGGGCGACATGGCAAGACCTTGTCTTCATTAAAAAATAAAAAAGTGGACTTCCGGCAAGATGGCGATGGGGCAGCTCGGTCTGTGAGACTCTCCACCGAGGAGATCACAAAGAGACTCTGGTTCTCTCCCCGGAGGCTGCAGATCCCATCGCCGGCAGCCTGCTCTTCACTCGGAGCTCGGCGTAGACCTCGCTGAGGCTTCACCGCGGTCCGGGCGGCTACTGTGGCTGCTGCTGCCGCTGCCGCCACCGCGGGCGGCCATTCCACATGGCACCGCCAGTGCCTGAGGCGAGCCGCCGCGCAGCCGCTGCCACTGAGGCAGCCATTACACATCGCTCCACCTGTGCCTGAGGTCAGCTGCCGTCGCTGCTGCCGCCGCCACCACCAAAACAGCCATTCCGCATCGGACCGTCAGTGCCTGAGGTGAGCCACAGTCGCCACCCAAGGCAGCCATTACACATCGCATGGCCCGTGCCTGAGCGATCCATGACTTCAGACCTTGAAGCCCCTGCGAGCAAGATCTGCTGAGGTCTACTACCACTGGACGTCCTGCCAGGCCATGGGTCTCCTCCTGTGTGCCTCCAGGCAACATCTCCCTTCCCTTAGCGGCAGGCGAGCAGCTGTGATAAAGACCATCTGTAGCAAGGGATAACACCCCCTGCTGGCGATTCAAGGTAACAACACCGAAAGGGGAAAAATGGAAGCCTGACAGACACAGGCCAGATCTGAGTGGTGAATGGGGCAGTGGGGAACTGAGTGATGATCTGAACGGCCCTTCACAGCAGGCCAGGGGCAACTGATCCTAACCTTGAACAAACTTACTAGCTTGAAAAGACAGCTAGAAATCAGAGCTGAAAGGACATTCGACTTAAATGAAAAGTCTCAGAGTGTGCTTGATTGGTTCTGTTAGGCTACTGACTTGATTCTATTCCTTCTGTTTTGTGCCCCCCCCCTTTTTTCTCCTTCTTTTCCCTTCTTTTATTTTCTTCTCTCTGTAAACCATATCTCTGTATAGAGGAATAGCACACCAAAAAGGAGGTTGGTAAACTTGTATGTTAGCAACATTGTATGTTTTAGTTTTTTTTGTATGGGAGTTGGTTAGTTTGTAGCCGTGGCCTATTATTTTTATATGCTTCAATTTTTGTCTCTCTCTCCATTTGTTGGTACACTCCTCTGTTTTCACCCTTACTCCTCTCTCTCTCCACCCCCCTTCCCCCCACTGCCTGCTCCATTCTCTTCCCTCTGTTAACCGCATTTTATTTTCAGGGAGTAAACCTACAACCCCACTGCACGGACAGATTCCAAGGCAGTGGGAAGTGGGTTTCAGATTATTCATACACCTATTGGTGGATACAGGACCTGCAGATAGATTTTGAATCACAGCTCCCCCCTTAAGTAAATCTCAAAACTCCAAAAGGACCACCCCCAACCTACAGTGCAACTCCAGATTTGAACAAAGTAAGAGGACATACATAAACAAGAATAGGAGATTGAACAAACAGAAGTAAAACAACCCCTCCACACCTGAATAGCAGAATTAAAGAAGACAGTGACATGGAGGGAAGGAAAAAGTAGGGAGGGGGAAAATCACACAAACGAAGAAAAACCAAAAGAAGAATATAGGTCTCACACAGACCCCTGGGAGATCAAACACTGGGAAAACAGATTCCGGAACACAAACAATGAAGAGCCCCCAGAATGACTGGTCACATGCAACAAACCCAGACATCAAGACATTAATACAGAGAATTAAAAAAACTGAGGAGAGACAAGAGGAAAACAGGAAGGAGCTGATGTTAGAAATAACAGCAGTAAAGAATACTGTGATGGAAATAAATAACAGACTAATAAGCATGGAAAGCAGAATTAGCCAAGCAGAAGAAAGAATCTCAGAGCTCGAAGACCAAAACACAGAACTAACCCAAACTGTCAAAAGCATAGAAAAGAAGCTCAAAAAGACAGAACAAAACCTTCAAGAGATGAATGACCACTTCAAGAGACCGAACCTAAGAGTAATTGGACTTCCTGAGGCAGAGAGAGAAACAGAGGTCACACTGGAACAATCATTTCATGAAATCATTCAAGAAAACTTCCCTCATCTCATCAAGGTTGAAAAAATTCAAACACAAGAGATTCAGAGAACCCCTGCAAGACAACAAATGAGAAGACCAACTCCCAGATACATAATAATTCTCCTAAATAAAGTAGGTATAAAAGAAAAAATCCTAAAGGCTGCAAGAGAAAAAGGTCAGACTACCTACCAGGGAAGACCAGTTAGAATAGCAGCAGATTTATCTACAGAAACCCTCCAGGCTAGAGGAGCTTGGAGCCCTATTTTCAAAGTTCTAAAAGATAAACAATTTCAACCAAGAATAACCTACCCAGCCAAGCTAAACTTCATCAGTGAGGGAGAATTTAAATCTTTCCCAGATATCCAATCCCTAAGAACCTATGCTGCCACCAGACCACCACTACAAGAAACACTTAAGAAAGTATTGAACACAGAAGAAAAGGAAAAAAGAACAACAACGTTCTTCACAAGAGTGCAAGCAAAAGATTAAAAACACACATGATCCAACTCTAAAACCAAAAGAAAGACAACACACAAACAGGAAGAACAACAACTTTGTAAGAACATTATGATAGGGATCAAATCTCACATCTCAATAATTAGTTTGAATGTGAATGGACTAAATGCACCACTGAAAAGACATAGAATGGCAAAATAGATAAAACATCACCAGGCAACAATCTGTTGCCTTCAAGAGACTCACCTCACTAGAAAGGACACTCACAGACTCAAAGTAAGAGGATGGGAAATACATTTTCAGGCGAATGGAACACAAAAGAAAGGAGAAGTCATGATCTTAATCTCAGACAAAATACCCTTTAAGCCACCAAAAATTAAAAAAGATACAGAAGGCCACTACATAATGATAAAAGGTTCAATTCATCAACAAGAAATATCCATCCTAAACATATATGTACTGAACATACGAGCACCAACTTTCATAAAGCAGCTCCTAGGTAAACTACAAAAGATATCGACTCCAATACCATCATAGCTGGGGACTTTAATACCCTATTCACAACCCTAGACAGATCATCAGGACAAAAAATCAGCAATGAGATCCGAAACCTCAATGTGACTCTTGATCAAATGGACTTAATTGATACCTACAGAACCCTCCATCCAAAGACCACAGAATACACATTCTACTCATCACCACATGGAACGTACTCTAAGATCGACCACATACTTGGCCATAAGACAAGCATAAGCAAATTTAAAAGGACTAAAATTTTACCATGCACTTTCTCGGACCACAGTGGAATAAAAATAAACATTAACACCAACAAGGTCCCCCCAAAAACCACAAAGACATGGACACTAAACAGCATGATGCTAAACAACTCCTGGGTCAATGATGAAATCAAAACAGAGATTAAAAGACACCTGGAAACAAATGAAAATGAAGAAACATCTTATCAAAATCTCTGGGATGCCATGAAAGCTGTAGTAAGAGGGGAATTTATATCCCTACAAACGCACATGA